ATATATTAATAGAATTAATATATTAATAGAATTCTTGGTCTTATATTCTTTAATTTTACTGTTAACTTTATGGACGTGATTCCTTTAGTTTCTGTTATCATTGCCAGCGAGCAAAGCAGCTTATTCAGTTCACTCATTGGCATTTTTTTTTTTACATTGACAGAAAACTCGATTTCAAACATTGTGCTTGCCTCATTTTCTCTACTATGTTGTTGGCTGTAGTTTCAGGATTTGACATGCACTCATTTTCATTGGCCTCACCTTTTCTCCAATGTTTATCTTTATCCTGGGACACAGGGTAGGCAGGTCTTTAAGACTAAATTGTTTCCCGGTGGGCTGGGGCAGGGAGTGGCAATGGCTGAGAGGTTAAGATCACTTTTTTGATCTCGCAGATGACTTGAAGTTTTGTTCGTAGCACCAAGTGAATGGTACTGGCCTATAACTTCAGCCCCAGGAGATCACACACATTTTCCCTAGCCTCTGTGTGCAAAAACTCATTCACATATACACTTTCTTTTTATCATAGTTTATTTGTTCCATTGATGTGAATGCATAAAGCTATGAGATATAGTCTGTGTTAGGCAAAATAATTAATTTCTACTTACTCTTTTGTTTCATTATTTTTTTTTGATTTATAAAGCAACATATATATAAACATTTTATATACATTTAGTCTACAATTTTATACACTTTACCGTAATTAATTAGTGCATACCTTTGTCTATCTAAGCCAGACTAGTATTTACTTTGTTATTACTTTATTTCTTGATTTAAAAAAATCATTTAAATTCCACAGTTATTTAGAATCAGGCTATTGAATCATCATAGCACTCTCATTATGAGAATGATCAATTAATTCCATCTAGCACATTTAATTTCTTTTTTGATATGTTTCCTACTCACTATGTTATTAGTATTTGTTTCAGGTGTCTTTTGCTAAAGTAAGAAGGGAGAAGGATATGTTATTAGATATATCACTGGGTTAACTAATTTACACTTCATTGTAATAAAAATTATATGTATGTCCAGGATATTAATATTGTCAGACTACTGTACACTAAGGTATATATACAGTAGAGTGTATATGTAGCTACTGTAAAATAGAAACGTTTCTTTTTTTCTCTAATGAGAGATAGAAAGGGAGTGGATTCTGATGGGAGAGGAGGTAGAAAGAAACTGGGAGGAGTGGAGTGATGCGAATCTGTAATCATTATATCATTTTATATTGTATGAGAAAAGTACTTTTTAGTAAAGTAGGAAAGATGAGAAAGTATTTGTGTGTGTGTGTGTGTGTGTGTGAGCATGTGCATGCATGTGTACCTAAATACATGTGTGCACATAATTTGCATAGAGGGCAAGCTCAAGTGTATTACTTCATAAGCCATCCGTCTTATTCCTGTCTTACTGAAATATGGAGCACTAGCCAACAGCAAGAAGCCCTCCTGTCTCCATCTTCAGTTCTGGTATTACAAGCATAGGTCATCTTGTATACCATTTCCTTTGGATGTTTTCTTGATTGAATGACAAGTATCTCCTCCGCCTGAAAATACATTTTTATAATTCTCATAATTCTAGTCATGAAGATAAGAAAAAGTACATAGTAACCCACAGTAAGCTACTAATTTACATGATTTTGTATTGCTAGATTATCAAACAAAAATAAAAAGATCTACAGTAGAAGTGGCATGTCTTCAAATCTTCAGAATATGAGGTTAGAAACAGCATCATCAGAGCATTAAATTCTTTCCTTGCATACTAAAGAAAGCTGTCAGGAGAATGAGACATTCATGAGTCAATAAAATACACAAATTTCTCAAAACATTCTTAGGTGTATTCCACTTAGGTTTCCCTTTAACAAGAATATTTTTGTGGGTTTGTTTGTTTGTTTGTTTGTTTGCTGGGTTGGTTTTCTTGGGTGGGGAAGGGTTGTTGTTGTTTTAAGCAGGCTCATGTGGAGCTCAAGAAGTAATTAAACTTGTTCCTCTTACCTCAGCTGCCCAAGCCTGGTCCTCACAGAAATGTGTCACCATAAAAGGCCACAGGATTCTGAACAACATGTTACACATGCTTTGTCTTACAGCTCATTTTATTCAAATGTTTTATCACTACAGAAAATGCTTAGGGAGAGAGCTAAGATGACTGCTGTTATTGCTGCAAGCAACGTTCTGCACATCGCTATCAAAGGCTGGCTCTGGATAGAATGGTAGAAAAAAGAATGCCATCACCCTTACGGATTCAAGCACATAGAGATAAAAGATTATGTTTCTCTTTGAATCTTTGTTTTGCTTACAATTCCAAGTACTAAAATACTCTTGAGCATCGGCACACCCATCACCCCCCCCCAACACACACTGAACACATCTTATTCTGATAAATTTTAAAGAGTTTTAAATTGAATGATAGCTTCATTCACACATATTATAATAGGATATGATAATTATACATTTTACCTTTTGTGTAAGCACATCATTCACCACTAAAGTATTCTTATTGCAAGTTAAAAATAAAAATGCTTAACTGTTAATGTTGGAAAATGAATCACATGAAAAAGACTAAAGATGGACATGTGACGTAGATCAAAGTACTGCAGCTCACTATGTCTAGGGAAGACCCTGTTGATCTGATTTGCATCAGTTTCAACAAAAATGATTCCTTTTGTGGATAAAATTTCTTTAATGTAGCTAGGGATATGCAAAATTCTAAATAATTTTTCAAAATACCTTTATTTAATAACTAAATAATTATTTCATAATTTTAGTTAATAATGAATAACTTCAGTTAATAGTTTAAAAGTTTCTAAAACAAATGAAAGTAAAACTGTAGAGGAAAAAGTTTTCTGTAGATATTATTATTGCCTGAATAGTATTCTTTTTTCTAATTATAAGTCCTCTTTAAAATACATTTTGGAAGGCTAACTCATTGTCGGTATTTATTATAGAGAATCATGTTATTCAACTAAAATATAATATATCACAACTACCTCAAATGGCATACCAATTCCTCACGAAAGAGTTGATGAAAAGGTTTTTCATGGTAACCTAATAGCAATTAAATTCTAGGTAATGAAGTATCCAATAGTAGTATGATGCTATTAAGATTAGAGATTCTATTATCCTTTTTATTATTTAAAGAGGAACTTAGATGCTGTACTTCAGGAATAAACATAGAAAATTATTAATAATCTTAATGATATCTGTATGTATTATGTTTATACTGTTCCTCTTTTTAATTTTTTAAACTTTGTATAAACAGAGTTCTCTGAAAATTTCAAAGTATTCTATTTTCAATCAATGTAATAACACTTATTTGTGCCTATTTATTTGTATATGTGAATTTCACCATATGGGTACATGTATATAGGTGTGTTTATACATATGGGTATAAATATACACATGTATACATAGGGCAGCCTATATATCAACTAAAACAGATGGAAATATCCTCTGAACTCTTTATTATTCAGGAAGCATCAGAAAATAAAAGCAAGTATCAGTCAACGTTATTGAGAAAAATTAAACTGTCTATACGAATGACTCGGCAAGGTAATTGTTGTCTATTTTTTAGATTTTTCTTATGTAATTTACAAAATAGATATTGGACTGAAACTCTCTGTTATAGGGGTTTTGGTTTAAAGACTATTTTGCCCACTTCTTGGATAATGAAAAACAGTAATAGCCTAAATAACAATTTTTCCTGTCTTGTAGACAAGCTACTGTATAATAGAATGGGGTCCAGTCTATTTCTGACTTCCCCGGTTAGTGGTGTGTGGTACTGTACTGTCTTCGCAGAAATCACTTAATATTAGCACTTGAGTGTGCTTAAGGGAGCATAGGCCTTCTGTCAGCCCCAGTCTTCCAAGGCAAGCATATGCCTTGGACTGGTGGTAAAACCAAGTCCAAACATCTATTTGTTGAATGGTTATGCCATATGAAACTCTATTTTTTTTCCTTCTAGAGAGACAAGGTTAATAGAAGAGGTACAAGAAAACCTAAACCTTGAATGAGAGGTGTCTAAAAAGAAGTTGTTACTACTCAGGTTCAAATTAGAGGACATAATGAGGGTCACTCAATCCCATAAACCGTCTGTAAACCCACACAGTCAATTGTGATATATAGCACCTTAAGAGGTAATATTCAAACATAGTGTATCATCAGAATAAGAGTGTAAACAATAAGCAGGAGCACAGGGCATATCCAGGTGAATGCAGAAATGGGAAACACTGTTTCACTTATCATAATGATGACTCATCAGGGAATGGATGGGAATTCTTAGGTGGTAAGGACTGAGAAAAGAAAAGCCGCATTCACCTTTCCAACATGTGCTCATGACTACATAATCATGGACAGACATATAAGGACTAGATAAGAGAAATGGTTAAGTATAAAATTCCAAAACCGGAAAATGTTTGCTGTGCCAGCCCTCGGTGAGAACAGACATAATGCAACGTCATTACTATAAGGTTGGTGAAATTTGGAGCACGTTGTCATTTTTCCTCTCCCATTACAACTTCCCAAATAAGTCCATTATCTTAGAGTCAATTTATATGTTCCAACTTAATGATGCAGTTTGTCCATGTAGCTCTGCAACTGTTCTCTCAAGCTGCCCAGCAATGATCTCACCTCACTACAGTACAAATTCATCAGACAATAAGCGGCAGCATTATTATTTCTATGAGGCTGACACAGGACATGTCGAATTGGTGGTTAAATAATTTATTTCTCTTTCAGGTGCAATCTGCCATGCTTATTGTAACTCTCCTTTTGATACTCATTTTGTGTTTAATAGTTCATTGCCTCATGAGGATACTTGTCAATCAACTGCATTGAAATATCATTCTGACCTTCAATTGGAAACAATTTACTCTTTTCTTCATTTTATTGAAAGCTTTTTTTCTCTGCTATTCAAATTCAAAGCCAAAATCACTCACATTCAAAAACTTTATAATAATTAGTGTTGGAAAATGACCTACTTACTAATATACTGACACATTTTCATTGCAGAGGTGATCCAGCTGAGTCTGCCTGAAGAACAGAGAGTTACCATTACAGCAGCCACTGTGGGACAAAGTGCTGTTCTGAGTTGTGCCATTGTGGGAGCCCTGAGACCCCCTATCATATGGAAGAGGAACAATATTGTCCTAAATAATTTAGATTTGGAAGACATCAATGTGAGTATGCGAAACACAGATGCTGTCCAGTGTGTGCATTTTGCAAAGATACCTCGGGCTCTGTTGTGCCTAGGGAGATAAATGAATACTGGATACAGAGTAGAGGAAAATTATTAGAAGGCTGTGTATCTATCCAACCAGCTTGTAGGTACCCAACGGAGCAGTTGTAATTGTGGAAATCATTTGTATTGGTGTAGTAAGATTATGTAGCTGTGTATCAGTCAGGAAATAGATTAGCATAACAGTTTTATAAATATCTCTTTAGTTTTAAAATGCAAATTGCCTTCCTAGTAAATTCACATCTAAAAAGCGTTCCAGTAACACAGTCATGTAACCTCAATTTTGCATGCATTTTTAAATTTTATTTTATTTAAAAATTCTCATTTTACCTGCCAAATCCATTTTCCATTCCCTTTACTCCTTCTGCTCCCTCCACCTTCCTCCCCACCAAACACCTATCCACTCTTCAGAGAGGATAAAGCTTCCCATGGGGAGTCAACACATTGCAGGACCAAGACCCTACACTCTTTGTCTAGGCTGAACAAGGTATCGTTTTAAGGAGAATGGGTTTCAAATAGCCAGAACAAGCAGTAGGGATAAATTCTGGTCTCACTGCCAGTGGCCTCATGGTCTGCCCCAATCGTATAACTGTCACCCACATTCAGAGTGCTTAGTTTGGTCCGTTGCTGGTTCCCTTGCCGTCAGGCTGGAGTAGGAAAACTTGTATTAGCTCAGGCAAGCTGTTTCAGTGGGTATCCCCATCATGGTCTTTAACTCTTTGCTCCTATTCTCTCTCTCCTCCCTCCCTTTTACTGGACTTTGTGAGCTAAGCCTAATGCTCCACAGTGGTTCTCTCATCTGCTTCCTTCAGTTGCTGGATGCAGATTCTATGACGGCATTTAAGACGGTCATCTGGATATAGGGCAAAACCAGTTCAGGCACCCTCTCTACTATTGCTTAGGGTCTTAGCTGGGGTCATCCTTGTGGATTCCTGGGAATTTCTCTAGTGCTAGGTTTCTTGCTAACCCCATCATGGCTCCCTCAATCAAGATGTCTCTTTCTTTGTTCTTGGACTCTATCCTTCCCCCATCTCGACCATCCCGGTCCCTCTAGTTCTTCTACTCAGGTTTGGTGCCATTATGTTGGGGTCCGGTGCTAGCCTGGACCATAAATTATTTCTCTGGACTAGACCCCAACATAAACTATCTCTTTCTGGACCGGCGTGGAGGCGTGGGAATAAAGGCATAACTCACGTGGCTTTATCGGGAGGGAGATTCTCAGTGGTCCCTCATGAAGTCCTGAGTTCACATGCTGAAGAATTCCTCCTTGTTTATTCTCCAAACAGTTTTATACCAAAAGTTAGAAGTGGGACTGATCCGTGAACCCCTACACTCCCGCTTTCCCTTTCCCTCTCCTCCTTCTCTTCCTCCTTCCCTTTTCCCCAAACCCTCATGCTCCCAATTTTCTCAGGAAATCTTGTTTATTTCTCCTTCCCGGGAGGGGGGCAGGGGAGATCTATGTATGTTCTCTTAGGGTTCTCCTTGTTACTTAGCTTCTCTGAGTTCAAGGAGTACAAGTTCCTTAACCTTTGCTTTACAACTAGTATCTATTTCCTGTATAGAATCTTCAGCATTTGAGATTCTCTCTTCCAACTCTGTTGGATATGCTTGCATCTGTAGGTCCTGTTCATTTACCCAGATATTCAATTTTCCGAATTCCCTCATTATGTTTTCTATATTGCCTCTATTTCAGTTTTTCAAGTCTTGAACTATTTCCTTCACCTGGTTGATTGTTTTTTCTTGGTTTTCTTGAGTTTCCTTAAGAGATTTATTCATCTATCCCCGTTTCTTGTTTGTCTTTTCCTTCATTTCTTTAAGGGAATTTTTCATTGCCTCTTTAACTGTCTCTATCATCTTCATAAAGTTATATTTAAGATCATTTTCTTTTGCTTTTTCTGAGTTACAGTGATCAGGTCTTCCTGTTGTATGACCACGGGGTTCTGGTGTTACCAAGCTGCTTTTTGTAGGTCGTTGAATAAAGTTTTGCATTGGCTCCTACCCATCTCTTCCTCCGATTGGTGCCAGCAGTGTCTTTGCCTCTTGGTCCAATCCTTGCAGTTGCTGTCTGTGCCTCAGGAACCACTGAGGTCTCTCTTGGCCTGATCTCTTCGTTCACTCTGTGCAGCTGCAGTCTGTGCTTCAGAGTTCCTCTGAGATCACAGGGGTGGGGTGAATTTGGGGTATGAGCCTTGTTGCTTACAGGGTCCAATCAATTTGGGGGACATTGAAGCAGCATTTTTGCCGGAAGCTTGCTTACTGGCTGGCTGTGAAGCTGAGGCAGGTGCAGGAACGCCCTGGAATTTTTCCTCTGTACTGAGGGCCTAGAGAGTGGCGTGGCCAGCTGGCTGGCTGATCACTCACCTCTTGGTCTGCTGTATGCAGTTGCAGCCTCCATATTTTAAAATCGTAAGAAGAAAATGTTTTGACTTATATTGTGTTGTGTATTTGTTAATAAAGCACAGATACTTAGGGAACACATGAAAGAAAGAACTTGCTTGCATGTCTGTCGTTTTCTGATGAAATGAACTGCTACTGTGTATTTTCTGTTCACCGGGAAAAGGCAGACCATGTCCCTCATAGGATGAGCTGCCTTAATATTGTACAAAGCCTGAGTATTTTCTTAAGGAATAGATAGATCCAGGCCAGTAAAACAAACAACGAAAGAAAAAATAAAATAAAATCCATTGAGTTCTACCTGTATTGATTAAGCATCTCTGGAAGCCATATTTGTCAAAGCCTCTTGGGAATAACTCTAACTATAGAAAATGAATCTCTTTGCGATATTATCATCATTGAGGAACAGCATGTAACTTGTGAAAAGTCCAATGAGACTAAATAAAATTTTACTTTACAAGCCTTTGGCAGCAAGAAACATGATTATCTTAGTTACTGTCTTACTGTTATGAAGAGACAACAGAACCATGGCAACTCTTGTAAAAGAAACCATTTAATTGGAACTTGCTTACAGTTTTAGAGGTTTAGTCTATTATGATAATGGCAGGGAGCATGGTGGAAGGACCCATACTATTCTAATTTTCGCCGTCTTTTTGTTTGTTTTCTAAATTGATTAAATATGATTAGCCATCTGGATTAAACCTTAGCATCATTCTATCATTTATTTCCATGTTAAATTGAACAAGAACTCATTTTTTGATGGGTTTGGTTTCTTGAACATGACTTTCCTTAAAACTCCTTTCCTGCCTCCCATATTGCCTTGCAGGTGATAGTTCTTCCTGTGCATAATTCTCTCCCCCATTGGCCCTGAATTTAATTCATCTATCAAACAAAACTAGCTTAACTAGAATTTATACTGTTTCACCAGGAAGTATAAAATCACTTTGTGTTCAGTTTCAGAAAGGAATTATACAGATGTACTAAAGTAGCAATGGAACACTGGGCTCGCATGCAGATTTCACTATCTATCACTCCCTGGGCAGTTTTTCAAAACTTAAATCAGATCAAATGCGTGCCTCTAGGCAACTGAAGATCTGTTTTGTGATTCTCTGCTGATTGTCACCTGTCAGCATAGACTGCACTGGGATTCAGTTATTTTCTTTCTCACCTTTAGTAGCTAATGTTTTATTGACTCTCATTGGCCTGCGCTATTGATTTCTCTGATCCCATTGCAGCTGTTCATAAGTTGTGGCAGATGTGTATGTAGCCTGAGACATTGTCTTCTAACTCCTTCGTCTGTAAACCATTCTGTCATGTTCACATTCAGGAGCCAATTAGTCTGTGAAAAATATGTAGTGTGTGGGAATTTAGATAGCAACTGATCAACAGATGATATTCTTTCTGCCTGAGCAGAGGTGCCTGATAATGAGGATACCAAGGTACATGTACAGAGTGTCTCAATTGCAGTGATGCTACTTGCTTCCAGGGGGATTATTACAGATTTTTTTTTCACCATTGTGTATTGCCTTTCTTAAGAAGAAATAAACTGAAATTACACAAATGCCAGCAGCTTCAAATCTGAGACTTTTCCCTGTCCTCCTTTGTTGTTTGGACGTCATTTTTAAAATCGTGTGACTGAAAAAGGAAGGAAGTATGGAAGGCTGCAAATTCCCATTGTGCTTTCTTTTTTTTTTTTTTCTTTTCTTATTTTCACTGTGGAGAAAAGACGTAGTGTGGGATCAATCTTCCTAAATTTTTAAGTGTACAATAAAGTCGTGTTAACAATAGGCACACTATTTTACAGCACAGCCCCAGACCTTATTCATCTTCCATAACAGACCCCTGGTAATAACTCATTTCCCTCCACGGTCCACAGAGACCATTATTGTACACTATATTTCTATAATCTTGACTTTTGTAGCTTCCTCATAAAGTGGGACCATGTGGAGATTATTCTTTGTGACTACCTTATTTCCCTAAGCATAATGACCTTCAGGTTTATCAATGTTGCTTTATAAGAATAAAAATGGTCTGTCCTCTCTCTTTAATCTATTTAATATTAATAATTTCTTTCTTTGGCTATATTGAAATGAACATGAGCATATAAATATATTTTTGAGATAGTGATTATAAATATTTCTATATACTCCCCAAGTGGGATTGATTGCCTATATGATAATTTATTTTGTAAAACCTACATACTGTCATTAATAGTTGATACCGCTTATAGCCAAGGGTCCCTATAGATTCCACATATTGATATCTTTGACTAATCTTGCAATTTTTATTTATCTATATGTTGGGTAATATTAATTCTACAAACATATGGTTTTAGCTCTTCTGATAAATACCTGCCCTATATATTAATTATGAAAATTGTTTCCACATAGAATATTTATAAAAATATTATTGAGCTGAATATAATATTCAGTAAGAATATAGAGGTTCATTGTTTCTGAAGATCAGGAACATCCTTGTCTGGCTGTTCATTAGCAGTCTGACCCTTGACACAAGAAATGAGTAAGTGCAAAGTGTGATCAAAAGAAT